AGACATACAATCGGAGCGAAAACAGGGGACCGCAGGAATGAGTGTCTGTGTAACAGGAAGAATAGATAAAGGAAGACAAGAGGAGGAAGGAGAAAGGGATAGAAGACACAGAAAATGAAAGAGCACTTTATTCCACAGAGCTGCAGTTCTTAGGGGATTTCTTTTCTCTTTTTTTTTTTTCATATATCCTGAGCTAGTTCCCTTATCGTGTTGACGACTTATCTCCCATTTTCTCCTCCTCAAGGCAATAAACAGACACAAAGGAGCTGGAGGGGTAGGAAATGCACAACAACAAAAGAGCGACTCTTCGGCACTCCCTCTGTTTTCATTATCAGGTGCAGTGTGAGACTTTTGATGGAGCTCCGGATTATCCTGCGTGCGCTGGATGACCGATGCGAACGGCATCTGAAGCATGAAGGACACCGATCATGTCAGCCAAGGCAAAGGCACATTACAACTGTGAGCAGACCTCAAGGACTCCAGCAGATTAAAACTGATTGAAATTCCATTTGTGGCATTTGACGCGGGTTTATTTATTTATTTTTCCCTCCCCCGTCAGGTCCCCCTCTCCTCCCCGCAGTTTAAATGCCCACCACTGTGAGCCGAGCCTGCCCTCCGAATAAACAAATGAGATTGCATTTGTGGAGGCAGGCGTCTCCACGTTGCATAGCAATAATATCAAGCTGCGGGATTTTGTAATATCAACCAAAACAAATGAGTGTGTGTGTATCAACTCTAGCGTATTAAAAAGGCACACACAAGGCCACGGACTCTCGAAATAAAAGGCCAAATTCTGACATCAGCGGAGCTTATGGAGATACAACTACAGAGAAGCATGTTGGGCTAGAATGCATTGAATTTCCACTTTAAGCAGATGACGGAATCCTTTCAATGTGTGATGACGCCAGAGTTTTAAAAATATTATGACCTAAGGCATTTGTAATGAACCTTCAAATTTACTAAAATCTACTGAAACATAGGATTCAGTCATTTTTGCAATCACAGTATTTCCACAAAATAAGAAGCTCGCCTAAAATCACATGTGAATAAGCTTGTTCACGTGATAACTCATTAAAAAATATGCCACGCCATCATCCTCTAACTACTTCCTGTCATCTTCTTAGTGGTTTGTGCCAGAGGCGACATCTGCTTGATTGTGTGACACGTGTGATGCGCAAAAAGTGTTTCCATTGTGGTTTTATAAAAGGAACCAATTTCAATACGGCCACGAAAGCAAAATTTATGGGAAAAAGATTTTTCAAAATTGGTATGTTTCCGTTAAGCCAATTTATTTTCAAAATGCCAAATTGAGCAATTATCTAGTAAATGAAAATGTGTAACAGGAAATGCTGCTGGTGTGTGGACAACCAAGTGTATTTCACAATTTAATAAGTTATACATCAACCTTAGCCGAAAGAATCCAAAGTAGTTCCAAGGACTTTATTGGTGCTTGGTGTCTTTGAGGTTTGTACTTTGACTTGACCGTTGCAACAACATTTTATTTTGCCATGTTGTGCATTTGTTGCTGTTCTGTTGATTCATTTGCCAAGCTTTGGCTGCTGCATGATTTCACCTTTGATTTTAAAAACTTTCTGTACTTAAACAAATGTGAAAAATACCATTTGTTGGCAGTTGGCCTGAGAACCGATAAGACCTTTACCTTTTTAAGACTATTTCCAGTCTTTCAAAGAGTCGATATCCTCAAACAATCAAACTCTCCAGCTACATTTCTACATGATGGAAGTTGACTTAATGTGTTGTTTATTCTATGTTGCATGACTTTGTTTTTGTGTTTATGATGTAAAGCACTTTGAAATGCCTTGGTGCTGAAATGTGCTCTACAAATAAAATTTGTTTGATTGATTGATTGATGTTTACCGCTACAAAATAATGTTGAGAATTCAACAGTTTAGAAATATTCTTTTATCAACCACCAAAAATTGCTTCTATAATGTCTCTGCTGATATTGATATTGTGTTAGCGAACATTTTACACTCTAAACCTGCAAAAGGGCCAAACTCCTGACTGAATACTACTTGTTAATTTACAATTATTCTTTTTTTTTTCAGGCCAATTATATTTATAGTTAAAAAACTTGGCACATCTCAGTTTTAGTTTTTCAGTGACAGAGTGAAAAAATGGTAATGTGTTACCAGTTTTGTTTTTTCTGTATTTTTTATTATTAATACTGTAAATATTTCATAATACAAGCAACTAAACATTCAATTCAACCAGAACGTAGAGAGAGAGAAAATACACAGTTTAGATTTCCAATTACTGCTCTCTGAGAGAAATTGGAATTGGCTAAAATTGGATTCGGCATCTGTAACACAGAGTAAACATTTTGCAATATGCAGCATAAAACATAAAAATGCCTTCTACTGAAAGCAATTTTAGTCAGATAACGACAATATTAACAATGTCATTAGTTCTTTAATAGTTCCCTGTACAAGGCAATTATTTCTGACACACAATTTGCAGTGAAAATCCCAACACAGAATTGCAATAGTAGTACACTGGCCGGGAGGAAGTGATGGACATTTAGAAAGAAAAGCTTTTGGTGTCAGAATCAGTATAAATTACTTTGATGTATTTTATTTAACTCGATAAATGTCTAAAATAAAATAATCTGACTAGTTTGCCGGGAGCCAGTCACGTCCATCACCTTCTTGGATCAATCTATGAAGCCCAACTCATAAAAAACTACTTGATACTATTTTGAAGCAATAGAAAGAAGATAAAGTGAGTAACAATAACTGCATGTGCATTTTATGTAGAGATGCACTGATCCAATGTTAATATCTATATCGGTCGCGATATTCAAAATAAATTCTAGATTGGGTATGCTGACAATCTCCCCAGTCCAAGTCTAGTTCAAGTCTATGCTTTGTGCTATTAGTGACATCATGCTTTGTTATTAATTTTGCATTATATGTAGAATTTCTAATTGCACTTTCTGAACCATTTAAAAGGTTTGTTGAAGTTTATTTTCACATGTTTCACCAAGGTGGGCCACCTATTGTTTTTGTCAGGTTTTGTCAACAATTGCCATCTGCCTGGCGATTATTATTCATTTTATTTTGGCTGTAATACTCCTAATTTCGCTGAACAGACTAAGGTTTTTACATGTTTGGCCAAGTTTATGAATCTATTGGTGTATTTCAATGACCTGTAATGGTGCAGAGTTATCAAATAAATTTGTAATTCAGTACATTAATGTCTGTTTATACTTTCCTGTACTGTATTAGTATCGGGCGATAAAAAACCTCAGGTATCTATATCGGTATTCAAAATAAAATAAGAAGTGTATTGGTGTATCCCTAAACTGTGTGTTTATTTTATGCTGCTCAAACAGAAAGAAGTCATCTTTTCGTCTGTCTTCCATAGAAATTCCCCCCGCTTAGGCAAGTTGCACAGTGATGTGAGGCCAACTCCTCATGTAATAAGCGGGTAAGATCACTCAAACAGAGTGCCAAGGACAAAAAAGCACTTCCAATTGGATGTACAACTGAGAAGTCACAGTTGAATAACAGCCAAAACAAGACATCTAAAGCTACAGCTCACTGCTGGTCCATCTTGGTAATAGAGGCATTTACTCTACCCTCACCTGAGCACACGACATCTCCTCCCACCCCGGGTAGAGGCCACATCACGAGAGTGACAGCCTATTTAAAAGGCAGTTGAAGTTGTGAATTTATAGGATGTTGGAAAGTATTTGCGCTTACAGATATTTTCCGATTTAGCTTTTGGGAAGATTTGCCAAAAATTGCACTCAAAAACTTCAACATATCTTTACTTCAGTAAAAGTAAGAAGTAGCTGTCCAAGAAATTATTAAAGGAAGAAAGCAGAATAACACCAACATATTTTTAGCCAAAGCATAAAATAAAAACGTAGTTGGTGAAAAAGCACCTCAAGTACTGAAAACTACATCATAAAATAGAATATGAAGTTATTTTGGTAAAGACCTAGATGAAAATAATTTATGTAAGTAACATAATTACAAAATAACAAAAGAAGGCAAAAGAAACAAATTTCCAAATCAATTTCTTTCAAAATAAAACTTATGAATCTAACAAAAACTTCAGGTGTGTGTCAGATGAATCTTTGGTTAGACCAATCTTATTTTTCATTCACTGAAGTTATTCGCAGTGGATAAGGATTTTACTCAAGAATAGCAATATTTCATAATAAAGTGGCCAAAGAAAAAGTCAAAAGTACAGTGTAATAAAAACACTTTAAAAGTACATTTTTTTCCAAAAAGGTAACACATTTTAATCACTTGATTTGAAGGCAGTCTAAAACTGAAATGTTTACCTATTGCAGCTGCACACATCAATCAAGCCCACCAAAAGGAACCTTAAAATAGGGTCTTGCTTCAGAAGGACTTAAATTAGCAGTTTTTCAAATCAGTATTCATCCCAGCTAGCCAACTGGATAGCTCATGAGAATGACAGCAACAAGAATGAAGAAAATTATTTCCATCTGTGCCGAAACATATTATTACAGTAATGGTGTCACTATTCAAGGAAAAAAATAAGCCCATCTGTTAGTGTGGGATTTTGAAACTCCCCTGAAGCGGCTTTAGCAAGTGACTCAGCTGTAAATAGATTTGGTGCAGGTCTTAGTAACATAATGGCAGCCCTAGTGATCCACTTTGCTCCTACATCGCTGCAGGTTTATCCAACTAAACCCTAAACTAAATAAGTGAAAAAAAAGAGAGGCCAAACTTTACAGCAGCTGTTTACACAGCTGAACATTTGGATGCAGCTTCGTTTTTACATGTAATCTCAATGTGTTTCAAGGCCAATACATTTCTCCGCTCCAGTCAAACATGCCTCGGGAGAAGCATGCTCATGTTTGAGTAATTTTCACTCAAGTGAAACTACATGCTGGATGGAACTACTCAAACACTGAGTGGGCCCTTAAAACAAAGCAAGCAAAGCCAGAATCTTGCCCCCGAACCTTCTCCCCTCCACCCACCCCAACCCCTGGCTCCTACCGTCCACACAGGCAGGTCTGGCTCTTGTAGTTCCGGCGATCTGGCCCTTCTTACAGGCGCAGCGGGCCGTCTGCCTGGCGATGGTCCGTCGTGGTTGGCTGCTGTCCTTGTTCAACGTCACAATCTCACATGTCCCCGCTGCCAGCTGGCCTGGAAATGACATTGCACCACAGCATGGGAGGTCAGAGAGATGCAATCATAAACAGGACAGAATAAACTAGCCTGTTTACTCAGTAAAAACCTCCATTTTGATTCATGTGAGTCCAAGAAGCCCTGGTATTTACCTCCACCTCTACTACAGCTCAGGGAGAAAAGGCGGTAACTTCATCCTCTTAAACAATTATAGAGAACAATAGAAATCTCCACACCCTTCTTAAATTAACAATGTAATATATATATATATATATATATATATATATATATATATATATATATATATATATATATATATATATATATATTTTTTTTTTTTTTACTTAAAATGAAACAAATCTGTAAAAGAAGTGTCCAAAAAAAAGTTAATTAACCTCGTAGCCTCAATAGTGCAAGTTATCGATTAATGATTTAATCTAATGTTGACAGTTCTTCATTGATAAGCGGCCACTTTCTTTTAAAAGTTTTCTTTAGTATCAATAATTCCAACCGGCTTCCCAATATATAAAGGTCTGCATTTAGAATATACTGAATTAAAAAAATATATACATTTCAACTTTTTTGGTGCATACTTACTGAATAAATAGAAATGTGTGCTTTTTTCACATTATTAAATTTTTTTTTTCCCCCAGATACGTTTTCTATCGAGTTTAAATTATGAAATTATAGCACAACAAGCTGATTAAAGCTTTAAAGAGACCAAATAAAATCCTTTCTCCCCTAATGCTATATTTACAGACTTGAACCACTTGGCTAAGTTGTTTGGAAGCCAACAGAGAAACTCACAAAAGTTGTTTCGCGCTTGAAAACACGTCTAAAAACAGTAATAGAAAAAAAATGCTTTCCACTTCCAGGGACCCAAACACGGCCTATAAGCTGTTTCCCATGAAAGGCCGCCTCCAATCAGCACACCTATTTCCAGGTAATGTACCCATTACCCAAGAAAAGAAACGCATGAATACTGATGAAGTTTGTAATTGCTGCCAAGACCCACCATCTTGCCCACGCGCATATTTCCATGTATTCAATCAGGCGACCTTTGACCTCGTAGCCGGGCCCTTGCTGCTCACAAATTAACCTTTGTCTGTGTGTGGAGGCCCCTGGGTGCAATTCCAGAGAGGCTTATCAGGGCCTAATTGTGATTGGCAAGAGGATGGAAAGTGTGATTAAATCTGGACTTTAGTCCCTGACACTTTGGTGGCGAGCTTAATGAACTGAGCTGTGAGGGGTCACTCCCAGGGTAATGGGGATCTATCAGGATTCATCCACACAGGTAGCTGTGGTGATCGCGGTCACAGGCTAAGAACCGAGAAGCCTGTTACTTGAAATTGTGATTTTATATATATATATATATATATATATATATATATATATATATATATATATATATATATATATATATATATTTACTTGCATTTCAACAATACAGAGAAAACTTGGGTTTTAGCGTTCAGAAAAGTCGTCAAACTCTTCGGTCTTGTCTTGAACTCAGACAAGCGCTCGTCCCGTTTGCTCCCTCAGCATTTCACTCCCGCTGCGGTTTTGGTACCTGGAGTTTCGTAAGGCAGTTGTCCGCCTTAAGAGTATTTCATATTGATCCTGTGTCAATTTGGATCCAGCTCGAAAATATTTTTGGACCTGCTTCGGCAATCACTCTCCCCAAACTGAAACGAGAACCACAATCAATGGAAATGTGATGCAATTGAAAACTTCCCCGAAAAATAATGTAATATTAAAGTTACTAAATAATTAAGTATTTTTTGAGACTAACAAATGCACTCGGGCCTCACTCCGCCCCAAGACAAACTAAACTGTGTGATGAAAAATCTACGTCTCAGTCAAGAAAAAGATGGAAAATGACGCTTTTGGTCAATCTATTCAAGTTGATGCTGATAAGCTGGTGTTAGTGAACAATTATGCAGTTTAGCAAATCAGAGGAAGGAGTTTAATTCAAACGTATACATTAGTAGGACAAACATGAAAAATACCAATATACAGACTCCAACAAAACTCAGGTTAGCTACTTTTTATGATGTCAGAGGAATGTAAAACGTTGGGGAGGCAGTAGTATATTTTCTTGTTTGTTTGTTTTGTTTTTTGAGTATTTAAGAATGAGTACAAAAATCTGGAAAGCAGAGCGTGACATTATATTCACCAGGTAAACACACTACATCTGAACTGAGTTTAATTCATTTCATAAAAAAGTCTAGGAAGAATTTTTCAATTAGATTTCACAGGACACGTCCACATGTTTTACCAAAATGTATCCATATAACTATGAACTGCTGATTGATGGTTTGTCAGAACCGCATGCTTATGGGTACAGAATGTAAGCAGGATGGGTTAAAGGAACAATGTGTTGGTGTGAAACTGGCAATGGGTTAATTCAGAACAAATCCATGTTCTGATGGCTTCTATAATGTGAACTTTATCAATGCAGATCAAGTGATTACATTTTTGACTGAGATTTAATTTTCCCCATTAAAGGTTTTACGATGAAAGAGCAAACTTGAAAAGTGGCTAAATGTACTTTTAAAAAAAAACTTGTTTATTATTTTTATGAATATTTACAACGAAGACAATCACGCTAAGATTTTTTTATTTTTTATTTTTATCTTTTTTGGAGACTGCGTGCCTTTTTGCCAGTTTCTGTCTCAATTTTACACCATAAAATCTTCAATGGCATAAAAAAAATAATAAACCAGCTTTATGAATTGCATACCCAACATTGGCAAAACATATCACAGCTTGAGAAAAAGAGCTAATTCTGCTGCAAAATGTAGCCAAGGTTGTAGTAATCTTAACATTCCTCTCAATGCATTTGTAGCTGCAAATGAAATATATGTTCCTATTCTGTCTTTAATACTGAATATGCTGCCGAGTAAGCTATATTAGCGTCTAAATCTCTGTGCAAATGGCCCAAACGTTTCCCGCTTTCTGTCTCTGGATGCCATCCACTGCGACAACGTCGACAGACTGTTTGAATGTCTTATGTAATCTCACAGATCGTGTGGCGCTGACGCACCATGTGTGAAGTCAACAGGCTCAAAGACTTTGGCTGATTAGAGAGCGCAATTCTCGGTTGTTCTGCTATCTCGAGTTGTTGGAGCTCATTAATAGACTCCATTTTTATCAAACGCTGGCCTTGTTTTCCGCCGCCACAGACGTAACTACCCGACAACGGCGTTCGCTTCTTTTTCATGTTGCTGCATAGCTGGGCATTCTTTTATGCGGGGATGGTAATTAAGCTAATTTTAAACTCACTAAAAAGCAAAAGAGAAAAAAAAAAAGTCCGTCTGAGCTGCTTTGACCTTTTTTCTTTTCTTTTTGGAATGAGCAGCAATGAAATTTCAAATTATTAATAAAAAATCATCTAAATTTAAGCCAGTCGACGGTTGTTGTTGTTGTTGTCGTGGAATGTTTAAGTCATTTTATTCGCAAACGGCAAATAAGATTTGCACAAATGCGAAACAAAACTGCGTATACTCTACGGATTGTACACAGGTGGAGTCCAATTTTTAAAAATGCTTTTTTTTATTTTCCACTGTTAGGGTCAAATTTAAGTTGAGAGAACATGAGGGCCACATTTATTTTAAATGAAAACCAAAAAGATATTTGTTGTTTTAATCTTTAAAAAAAAATACAAAATACAATATTTTAATAAAGCAAAGTTGTCTAAATCTTCTGGAAATGGAATCTGTGAATAATAAAATTATTCTCGCTCAGTTAAGTAACAGCTGTTAAGACGCGTATCTTTCAAAATTTTGACTTTTCTAAAGCGTGATTAATAAAAACTGAAACATTGTTAATGAAAGAAAAATGCTTTTCCTTGTGCTTATTTAAATGCTTAAGATTGTATTTATTTATTTCATTGCAGACTCACTCCATTCTTCAATTGTGGACTTATAGGACCAAACAAAGTGCCATTGACTTTGGCCAGCCCTGCGCTACACCACCACATGTGGCATTTGAAATACGCTGCATGAAAAGGAATGTTATAATTAGCATTACACAGAAGAGCTTCAACATGTCTACGCTTAGTTTATGAATTCCGTGTTGCATTTCTGAAATCAGCCAAACCAAAACATGAGTCATAAGAACATTTTCATCTTCGCAAATATTCTAGGTGTTACGGAACCGTCTGACTCGGTTGCGTTCGATCTGATTTCTTCTTCTTGTAGACGTGTTTTGTTGTTATTCTCCGAGGTTTCGGATGCTCCGTTTGTAACGAGGTGCTTCACAATCCTGAAAAACCTTAAACCTCGAACATCGAAGCGATAAATACATTTCAAGGGGAGCAAATCTTAATGAAAGCCTTTTGGTAACGATGGGTACATTTTTAAACAAGTTCTTTCAGCTCTTACTCATCCAGTTTCATTTCATCTACTGCAACTTATTAGCGATGAAACATATTTCCATTTCCATGATATGCAGACAAAAATAAAGGAAGTTCATTCCGGATTCAGTTGTGTTATTCCACAGAGTCCTCTGTTTCGGTTAAAATACTCAATGTAACTGTTCAATTCTTTATATTTGAAGGGGGGATTATAAATATTTAAGAAAGACTTCATAGGGGAAGTGCACAATTGAGTGCAGGCACACATGTCTACAACATATCCCCCGGTTTCAGCATGAGTAAGAGCTTCAAGATGGGCTCGTGTTTGTATCCCAGTAATGTGAGAATTGACTCGCTCCTTCCGTTTTTTTTTTTTGTTTTTGGGTTGTTGTTTTTTTTGTTTTAAGTACAAATTGCTCCGAGCGTCCCCGCGGCGCAGCCTCCAGAGCACAGCGCAAAAAAGGGGGCCGCATGCATACCGAGACTGATACCGCGCAAACGAACGAAAATAAAGAAAAAGGGGGCGGAAAGCGAAGCCGGCAGTCGTCCTTCGACCTGAACGGCAAAAGAACACAACCCGAAAAGGGACGGGTCGGACGAAACGCGGCGGCAGATTTCCACTAAATTAAAATTGTTTAGTGGCTGTTTATTGCCACTTTTT